CGACAAAAGCAGAAAGTTGACATGAGACCCAGAATCTCATAATACCCCAAATCTATAGTTTTCAAATGAAAATAATGTCATACCCCAATAATCAGAAAAATCTCAAATTCTATCAATGGAATACAAAAAAATCACTGAGATGACAGAGATGCTGGAATTAGTTAACAATTGTGTGAAAGCCCTATCATAAAAATGCTCCAATGATGGGCTGGGGCTGTAGCTCCGTGGTAGAGCGCCTGCCTTGCACATGTGAGGCACTGGGTTCAATCCTCAGCACCACAGAAAAGTAAATAAATAAAGACATTGTGTCCAACTACAACTAAAAACAATATTTTCTTAAAAAAAATGCTCCAATGAGCATTTACAAAATGTTTGAAATGAGTTACAAAATGAAAAGACAGCCAAAGGTAGAAAAGGTCTTGGTAAAGAAAGGGAAAATTATAATAAAAGAACAAGATGAAGTTTCTAGAACGGAAAAACACAATGAATGGGCCCTACAGAAGAATGGAAAGAGTAAACTTGAACAAAATCAACAAACTTCCAGGACAACAGGAAACACCCAATCTGAAAACAAAGGGAAAAACAGGCTGAGAAAAAAGAACCAAGTGTCAGGGATCTGTGAGTCCTATCACAAAAGAGCTAACATTGCCACCACTGGAGTTCTGGAAGGAAAGGAGAAAGGGGGTAGGTTAACAACGTGCTGGAATAAATGTAGCTGAAAAGTTCCAAATTGGTAAAAAAAAAAAAAAAAAAAAAAACAAACTTACAGATCAAGAGGCCAAGAAACCTCGAAGAGGAAGATTCCAAAGAAATCCACACCCAGGAACACCATAGTCTAAATCCTAAAAACTAAAGACCAAAAAAACAAAACAAAACAAAACAAAACTAAAACATCTGGAAAGCAGCAAGAGAGAAATGACATCCCTCTACTGGGGTGGTATGGGGGGAAATTCAAATAGCAGGCAGCTTATTCATCAGAAACCAAGGAGGCCAGAAGGAAGCAACACAGGAATCAGGAATTTTAAAACCTCTGAGAAYGAGAAGTGAAGGAGAAGTCTAGACATCCTGACTTCTGTGCCCACAGAACTACCTTAAAATAAAACAACAATTATTCGGTTTCTAAAAAGACAGAAAACATTTCACAAGGGATCTTGGAATATCAGTGAGGATGAAGGAACACTGTCAGCAAAAATGTGGGTAAGCACAATGGACTTTCCTTCTCTTCTAAATTCTATTTGATATGTTAAATTCTAATCCTGTACAGTGTGGCTCTAAAAGTACATAAGAAATGTAGTTAAGACAATTATGAACTGTAGGAGTAAAGGGACCTTAGGTGATTCGGAGTCTCTATTTGTTCTTYCACCTGTTAATTTGACTGCATCAGTAGACTGTGATAAATATGTATATGTAAAGTCATGCCGAAAGAATCACTAAAAAAGGTTCTAAAATAGTTACAGTAAAACAATAATAAATAAATCAAAAATCAATCTACCCTAGTCCAAGCCTTGTTAAGTAACTAAATAATATTACTAAATCTGGATGTATCTGCAGAGAATTATACTGAGTAAAAAATAAATAAATAAATAAATAAAAAAGCCAATCCAGAAAGGATCCAAGAATGTAATCCCATTTTCCAAACCATTCTTCAAATGACAAAAGTATGGTTTAAGAGAACAGATTGGGAGTTAGGAAAAGGGTGAGGGATGGGAGGGAAGTGGGTATGACTCCACAAGGCCAACTAGAGGGGTCCCTGTGGTGATGGAAATGTTGGTGCTTTAGCTGTATCGATGTCAGCATCTGAGCTACGATATTATTGGAAAGATGTTACCGCTGGGGAAGCTGGGGAAATGTACACAGAGTTTCTCTTTATTATTTCCTGCAACTGCATGTAAATCTATAATTATTTCAAAATAAAAAATTTAATTAAAAATTGTAAAAAGGACACAAAAGCCAGCTTGAAGGAGTTCCCACTGGTAAACTGGGGATAATCTGAGCAGCAAAATAATTAAGGGTTATAATAAATTATAAATCATTAAAAAGAACAGGCATCTCTGAGTACACACTCATGACAGATAGATGTATAGGCCAACAGACACACACTAGGGAGAAAGAAAGGGCTCTTGCTTACAGCAGGAAGCAGGATGCCGACTAGTAGTGGGTGGGAAGGGCTGGGTTGAGAAATATCACTTTGCCACCATCGTTGTCTAGGTTGGTTCACACAAGATTCATCAATAGACACTAAGATCTGATAAAGAACARCAAATTTACACAATCTAAAAGTGGTACTTATTCCTTGAAATGAAACAATATATAACTATATAAGGGAGAACTCAGCTGACACCCAGCATGGATAATCCAAATTAACATCACCAAAAAGGGGCAGATGGATATTGTGTGTCTCCAGATGTGACACCTGAGAAGGACACAATGTTACTTATGGACTATTCTGACCAGGGATGCATAACCAACCAGAATGAGCCATCATCAGATAGACCCTCCCCCCCCCCATAAAAATTGCTATTTTTAAACAGGAAAGGGGTAAGGATTCTTTAAAATACCAAAATCATAAACTGGGCACAAAGAGGCTTGCTTGTAATCCTAGCCACTCAGTTGAGGCAGGAGGATCACAAGTTTAAGACCAGCTTGGACTTAAAGAGAACATATCTCAAAATAAAAAATAAAAGGGGCAGGGGATGTAGCTCACTGACAGAGCACTTGTCTAGCATGCATAAGGTGCTGGATTTAATCCCCAGGACTAGGGGTATGTGAGAGTGTGTGTGTGTGTGTGTGTGTGTACACACACAGACACACACACACACGAACACACAAACACACATACACACACACATATATACATATATGCATTGAAGAGCTAAAACAACTAAATGTAATACATGATCCTGAACCAGATTCAATACATTTAGGAAACAAAAAAAAATCAATGAAAGACAATACTGGGTCAAGCGACAAAAATTGGATGTTGGTGGTAAATCAAAATTGACGACTGTTTAAGGAAAACTTAAACTTAATTAATTGGTAAACTGTACTGTGGCATTCTTGCATTTCCTTATTTTTAGGAAACACACCCTGAAGTATTGGAGTGTAAAAAAAGACTGATATATGCAATTTTAAAATGGCTTAGAGAAAAACAATGCTATCAAAGCAAAATATTCACAGAGAAATGAAAGGATATAAGGGTAGTCACAGTATTCCTGAAATTCCTATCAGTTGAAAATTAAAGATTGAAAAAAAATTATTTGGCTACTGTTAGCTATCAAAAACAAACTTAAGAAATGTGAATACAATTTGGATGGGATAAGTTTCTTGAAAGTACAGTAATGAAGAGCACAGGCTTCTGAGTTACGATGAATTCGGGTTCAAATACCAGCGTTGCCCTTATTAGCTAACCCTGACCTCCCAGAGTCTCAAACCTCTTCATCTGTAAAATGGAGAAAATAATGCCTCCTGCATAATTATTGTGAGAATTAAGTAGGGTAAGGGCTGTAAACAACACAATGCCTAGCAGACAGCACCGTTCTGCAATGCTATTGGTTATTTTAATAGATTAGTGGTGGTCATGGTTATTGCTGTTGTGAGTAGCCCAGGGGATTCCAAGATGACCAAAACATGATTTCTGACTTCAAAGACCTTTTAAAAAATAAAGAGTTGAACCAAAAATAAGAGTCGGTGACATATTAGTCTCAAAATGTTACTAGAGCAGAAACAGGAGAGTACTCCTGGGAAGTGGGGCTAGGAAGACTTCCAGAGAAGGTGACAATGAAAGTGGGCCCTTAGGTGGCAGATTGGGACCTCTGGGTAGAGGCGAGGGTGAGTGGTCATGGCATTCATGCCCCAGGTAACAGGTTCAGGCTAAGGGCCCAGGGCATGCGGGGTGCACAGTAAAAATTCCCGGGAAAGGGATGGGCAGGGCTGAGGCACAGAGTGGAGGTGGAGAAGTCCACCCTGACCCACCTGTGAGGTGGGCCGGGCCTCAGGGTCTTTCTGTGCTGTGTGCAGTGGGAGAATCGCTGGAGGTTTCTGACTGAGCAGTGACATGGCCAGGTTCTTGCTGGAAATGCTGCTTTACTATAGCTGGAGAAGTTAATCTATCCCTTCTCCTGGGGGACTCCTAAGAACAGGCCAAGCAGACACCACCCTCGGGGCTGTCTCTTTTTACTCAGCCCCATCACCTAACAGATGGTAATCAAAAATTCCAACAATAGGAAAGTGTGGCTGGGGTCATGGTGGGGCGGTCAGGCACAGGAGGGCGGTTTCCAGGCCTGGACGGGTGATGACAGCAAGGCACGTGTCAGACTCTGTGCCTAAGAGCAGGCAGCCACAGGCATCTGGATGGCTTATGTGGGGCAGGCAAAGAAGACAGGAGCATTTCAACAGTTTTAAACCGGTGCTCGTGCTTCCGGCCCCTTCCATCCCAGGGCTTCTCCTCTCCAGACTGTCTGCCCTCAGCTTATCTCTGGTTGGCTCAGGGCCGGAGCCTTCCCCTTGGCTAGCAAAGCTTCCTTCACGGCAGGGCTTCCTGCCTGCCCTGGGAGCACCATCTCTACTGTAGACGGCACGTTCAGGGTGCCCCCTTGAACCTACCCAYGGGACTGACTTAAAAATGAAAGAAAGCAGGATGCTGCAGATGGGCCAGTGCCTTTCTCTTTCTTTACTTTACCAACATTTGCATAGGTGGAAAAGAGATGAAAGTTTTAATTCCCTTTCGAATTGGACGCCATCATTGAAATGAGCTCTTTTGGAGCTTCTATCTTATTCCGTCTAATTTTGGTGAGATGCACACTTCTCCCAAGGGCAGGGAGAAGGGAAAAGAATGTGTTTTTATAGTATATTCTCCTTTGAAACATAAAAACCTTACGTCTTTAATTTATGAGAAAGTTACTTGAAGAGGTGGCTCAGATTGAAACCAACGAGACAAAAAAGAGTGGCTCCCTCCCAGGAGGAAGGGCAGTCCCTCAGTGACCGGCGTGGCCTGAGGTTACCTCAGAGGCGATGGAGGTGAAGCTGCTGCTAAAGTGCACGTGCTTGTGGATCTCGCTGCCGTTGGCGGTCAGAAGCCATTGCCCGAAGGCCTCGTCTTTGCCCGCYGAGTGGTTGCCGTGGCTCTGGTTGGGCAGGAGTCCCGCCAGGTCCCAGTGGTACGACGGTGTGGCCCCGATCAGTGCAATGAGTATGGCCTCCGTGGCCACGTACAGCTGAAAGAGCAAACACACAAAAGCAGACGCTGTTGATGGGCCATGTAGGTGGAAAACTCAGGATGCCTGCAAACCCTGAGGGGTCTGTTTCTTGCTTTTGTGGTCTTAGGAGCCACATCAGAAATGGGCCACATCAGAAACCAAGGAGAATCGTGTGAAAAGGAAGCTTCGTGCTCTGCGAGGAACAAGGCCAACAGCAGCCCACTTACAGAGCACTTTATGCTTCTTCAGGGTGTTTTCCTATCTATTCTGAGACAGAGCTGATGCTAAGGACTCTGTTGATATGGTCCGACTTTATGGGCTCTGACTTAAAAGCCCAACATCCCTGCTACTTCCTCTCCAACACTGTATCTGCTGCTCAGATAACCAGGCACCGGGCCGTGGACTCATGATCTAAAGAAGACCCAGTGGCACAGTTGCATGTCTCAGAAAACAGCATATATAGTATTGCTTTATTAAAGCAAAGCATAATGTGTACTTCCATAGATACTAATGGAAGATACGACATACAACTCAGGATTTAAAGAATTTCAAAATCCCAGGTGTAGATATTCATTTCACAACCTTCACCTGCATTTAATATTGGCTTAATCTAATCATAATTGTTCTCTACCAAAGAAAAGATATTTTATCCATTCATCCCAGAAATATTTACTGAGCATACAAGTCATTTGTCATTGATTGTGCTAGGCTCTGTACTTACAACGGGGTTTACGAGCTGTCCTATAGAGCCTTTGTATGCTATAGATTTCCATTTGTCTTGGCTTTCATTATTGGACAATTATTTTAAGCTTAACATTTATTAAGAAAACATAATCAGTCTGCTTCACAGTGTGATGATCTTATTTAAGAAAMAATCCCCATTAACTTTGAACTTGATGTCTTCAAATATCTTTAAATAAAGCAAGTGTCTAAAAACCATGAAGAAATGTGATTTCTCTCTGGCATGTGGTACTGTGCCCAGTAGATGGATGAGCTGACTGAGGCACACACAGGAGAGACTTCCCAACCATCTCCTCCCCAGTCTGCAGAGAATTCCAGCCTGGGGCCCCTTGTACACCATTCTGTAGGGGCATATTCAGCTAAATGAATGGTGTGGCCCCAATCAGCTCAATGAATCAGAAGGAGAGCAGTCTATCGCCACTAGATGACAGGATTGCTGTCAAAGGAAGAGAAAAGGAGTCATGACATTGCAGGCGTTATAACAGAAAGCTAATGCAAAAATCCAGGATGGATTTTTTTTTAAATATTCTTTTGGTAAAGCTGAAAAGATGCAAGGAAGCCCCAATCTATTTTGAGTGGGTAGACTGTGGGGACCTCTGGAGATGCACAAAGCAGCCCCAAGTCAGTTGGTGCATGTGGTGATTTATTATAAGATGCAAAGAAAAACATGTCCCTAGGTTTACATGCATCCTAGTCCCAATTTGTGTACTATTAAGGACATTTTAGAATAGGAGGCAATCAGTTTATAAAAATAAAGACCCTCATCATTGCAAAAACACATTGATTACACATTTTGCAATCGCTAAAATTACAAAGCCACTTTCGTCCACCTAGTAACTGCCCCCCCACCCCAATTACAATCTGCTGAAATTTAATTGATGGGTAGAAAGAAATGAAAAACACAGGGCAAGGAACACAGAGAAGATGACTCAAAACATATGTGCCYGTGAACGTGCAGCCTTCAATCAGGCAAAGCAAACCAGCCACGTGTCCTCTCTGAGTGTGCCCTTTTCTGTTTTTGTCATACCATTCACTTCACCTGGAAGGCACTTGAATGGTTGAACTTTCCCCCTCCACCAAGATGCAGCTTCGGATAACACCTTCCCTTGCCTCTTGCCTTCCTCTCCAGATGTCCTCTCCTGCTCACCTACAAAGTTCCATCTAGACTTTTCTAGAGCACATATCACTTTCTTCACTGCACATTCATGTGCCGATTCACCTTTTGGGCTTCCAAAACAAATAACCCAGGACCTACGCATTTAACAAGGGAATGGAAAAATGGCTCCGAGAGAATGCTAGTGATAATGACACACACTTTTCTAATGCTAACYGCGTGCCACCACTAGGGTCAATTCCTGTTGAGGATCTGTTAGCACTTCACATTTTTATCTGGATTGTCCCAGGATAAGGAATGTTCTAGGTAGAAGGGAAAATGCTCCAAACACGGTCCTGTAGTTGGAGACATGTTTCATTACGAAGGCCCCATTCTTAGTAAACATCACAATCTGGAGAAAATAGTTCAAAAACCAAGAATTGGTGCTAGCATACAACTTTAGTCATAACGTAGAAAAGGTGGACGCCATGGCATCCCTATAATCCCAGTGACTCGGGAGGATGAGGCAGGACCTCATCCTCAAGTTTGAGGCCAGTCTCAGCAACTTAGTAAGGACCTAAGAAACTTAGTGAGACCTTATCTCAAAATAAAAAAAAAAAAGGGATGCAAACATGGCTCAGTAGTAGAGTGTCTCTGAGTTCAATCTCCAAAACAAAAAAACAAAAAAAAAAATTATAATAAAAGGAACAGTGAAACCTAATTAATCAGCATTATCTGTATTAACCAGCTTTACCCAGTTTCATTCCTAGCAATCTACAGGCAGATTAAGCACTTCCCACCTATCTCATCCTCTCTGCCCTCCTCCTACCACTCTCAGTGTCCCTCTGGCCCACCCAATGCACAAGTGTGTGTATTTGGGGGCACTCACATAGACACATACGTGTCCACACGCACATCCAAGGTCCTCAGCAGAACACACGGGGCCACAGTTTCCTGTCACCAAAAAGGTCAGAAACCTGCAACCTTTCTAGACAGTGCCCGCCTCAGTGACAGCTCGAAATCCATGTCCTGCTCAGTCTTGCTGGTCATAATGGAGACTGAGTAGGCACGCAGGAAAGGGACTGCATGATAATGCTACCCAAGGGGCACTGTGAGATTAGGGTAGAGAGGAGAGTCTTAACCTCCAATCACAGCCTAATGTCAAGTCCTTAATACCAGAGCCTCTATATCCATGGGTCATACGGTCACAGGAAGTCAAAGATGGCTTGGCACTAAACTAGCCCTGGGGATGCACCACCCTCACACAGGGTTCTTTTCCTTAATTTTGCTATGACAATTTCACACAACTCACACATCCTGCTCCTTTTCCCCAGAGAACAACCACCACCACCACCACCACAATTCTCTCATTCTTTTCTCTACTATCATTCTACCACGACCACGTACACATTCACCCACATATTTCTGTCTAATGAAATCGCAACCCACAGCAGATGGGCCTTAAAGCCACCATAAGAAACCACCATCCATTCTCCTTCCGAGTAGGACTAACAACATCTCGAATAAATCATTATCTTCTCGGCTCTCTACCTCCAGGGAAGGAAGAACAAGTGCCACAGATGGCTGGATTTTTTTTCCCCCTCCCTATCAATGTAATTATAATTAGAAAAATGACTAAAATGCACCAGGGGATTGGAATTTTAAAAGTTTCAAAAAAGTGAARGTTTGAAAAGTAATTTTATATTATCACCATTATGAGCTTTTGTCATGCTTCCCAAGGAAGGGAGGAAGCATCTCCTGTAAATTATCTCATCACAACAGCTTCAATGTAAAGTCATGGTCAGGTGTGATGTCTGTTTTGCAGGCAGGAAAAATGAGACACAGAGCAATTAAGGGATCCTTCACGATCTCCTTTAACACCGATAGCTGAACCAGGGTGAGAATGGGAGCTAACTGACCTTGAGGCCAGAGCGTTTTTTTTTTTTCAGGGGAAATGAAGGAGACAAAAATCAAAGATGATTTTATTGTAGTCATTACTATTAGTCTTTTCTGCTATTCTCAGTTATCCACCTGACCCAATCCTAAAAGCATGACGTAATCAAGACCCTACTAATCTCGAAGGCAGGACCACGTGCCCGGTGCCCAGCACAAAGGGGACATTGATAAATTCTGCTTGGCTGACTTACTGTTAGTACCTATTTTTTGTGTTTAAAATTTGGAACGTACTTTCACACTCCCAATAACTGGTGTTTCTGAGTACTCTCTCGTCCCCATTCTAATCCATCCACAACACACCACTGAATCAACTTCCCTGAAACACCCCATGAAACTATTCTGGTCAAAGCATATTAACAGACAAATGATAAGTTTCCTATGGCTCAACTGCCAATTAATCCACATTCTAGCTGTCTGCACAGACCTCCTCAATCCCCCAAACATGACTTAACTCCCTGTGAGAGGTGAAAAGCATGTGAATCTGCATACCTGAGTCTAAACCTCAGCTCCAGCCAGCCTTGAGCAAATTCAAACCTCTCTAACTTCAGGTTTTCTTAGAATAAGAATGGATGCTAATGGTACCTTTTAATCTAAAGCCTTCATTTTAACTATCCCCTGCTAAGGGTCAAATGGGATGCTTCTCTAATTGACAGGAAATTGTACAGCATGATACAAATAGTATATGCCAGTCTTTTCAACTTAACAGGCAGGGTCTGACTCACTAAGTCTGGGGTAGGGTCTGAGACCCTGCATTTCTAACCACATCCAACAATGTGTCTGGGCCACATTCTATGTGGCCAGGGTATAGGGTAGTCCCTCTTCTATACCTTTTCCAATGTTGTTTTTCCACTTCAAATGACCTTCCTAATTTCAAACCCTCTCAACCCAAGGTTCAAAGTTCATCTCAATCTCACCTGTCTTTCTGAAGTCTCCAATAACCACTCTAGACTGCAGTCTCCTTTCTTAATTTCTGAAGCATCAGTTGGTTGGATTACTTAATAGGCAAAATATTGTTTTCTGTCATTATTTGTGTAGATTGAGTCAAATTCTAATTTTCTAATGACTTTTTATGTCCTTTAGGAAAAAACCTTAACATTCTTCTTTATCCATTCCAAACACCCAACACACCAATCATATATAACAGCCTATCATATGTATTTTTTAAACCAACCCCTCATAGAATGCTGGAACAAAAATCGTGCATTGAAAACCAGTAGTTCTTGAACCT